TTTTTTTTAGGATCTTTGGAGAATGTGCAGAATATGATAATCTCCCTTCCAGATAAGCAAATCGTCGCAGATTCGCTGCGCAGCTATGTAGCAGTTAGCGGCAACGTAGTTGGTCGAGCATTGACCAATCTACACAGTCTTATTCAAATGCCCACTGGTTGTGGTGAGCAGAATTTGGTTAAAGTGGCGCCTAGCGTCTATGTGCTCCAACACCTCCTTCTTAATCGTCAGAAAAATTACACCAGAGAAGATGATAGTTCTCGTTATAATCGCATTATCAAGAAGGCTGCCAAGTACATTTTGGATGGCTTCGAGAACCAACTATATTATCGCCACCCGAACAATGGAGCCTTCTCCGTATTCGGCCCTCATCATAGCACCAATGGAAGCACCTGGCTTACTGCCTATGTCTTCGAAGTCTTTAGTGAGGCTGAGAAATTGCCAATTGTCGCCATCGCAGGGCAGCGTCTAGATGCTCATGACATCCTTTCTAGCGCTTTTGATTTTCTCCTCAGTCAACAACAAACTTCTAGAGATGGATGCTTTGAAGAGGGTGATAGCCGTTTCTTGCCATGGGTAAAGAACTCCAACGAAGTCGAGAATCGGCTTCAACTCACTGCGCATGTACTTGCTGCACTCGGTTCCGCCAGCACTGCAATGAGAGAAGCCAAAGGTGAAGGATTTAGACATTGCGTGCGTTCCGCTATTCGATGTGTTGAATCTACAGTGCAGCATCAGCCCTTAATTAGGTTGTCTACCATCCTGTTGGCTAAAGTAGTCTACGCCACCAAAGCATTTGTGAGTGAGGTCACTTCATCAATACGCAAGGCTATGATTATCGAATTGATGAGCCGATCAAAGATGAAATCCACTATCAGTGGGTCTTTGAGGTGGTGGGCAGATTCGGCGTCTATGGTCACAGGAAGCCACCTCACCAAGGTACTTGATTTGGAAACCACAGCATACTCTCTGCTTGCACTTAGTCCCGCTGATCTATCTCAGGAGGATCAACTGGCCACGATGAAATGGATTTTACAACAGCAGAATGAGAAGGGAGGCTTCTACTCCACAAAGGATACAGTAGTTGCATTACACGCTTTAACGCAAAGTGCAGAGACATTTCCTTCGCCCATTCAAGCTACTTCGATAGTGATTCATTCTGGACCGCAATTCCTAGTCAATGTGCGGGTAGATTTAAACAAAGGTAATCGGTTAATTACGCGTATCTTTGAAGTTGGGGCACACAATCAGAGTGAAATTTCAAGTCTTCAAGTACGCATAAAGTCAGCGGCTCGGGTTTGCATTTCTATCTTCTTCACAGCTATTTACAATGTTCCCCAAATACGAAGTAAAAAGAATATTTTTGAGGTTGAGGTCGTTGTTAATCATAGTACTAGCAGTGCAACTGTAGCTTGCACCACGGCCCTCATCACCCCGTGTTTGCGCTCTACACACGCGCAAGCTACTGGTATGCTTCTTATGGTTCTACAATTGCCCAGTGGGTGGATAGTGACAGTGGATGAGTTGGAAAAGGTGACTTTCAATGCAGGATTGCGAAGGCTTGAGTTCAATGCCCACAAACAGGAAGTGAGTGCCTATCTTAATGGATTTTCAAATGAAAGTAGTGATGCAGAGAGGTGTTTCACAATGGCATTGCACCAACGCACCTATGTGCAGGAGGCGCAGTCTGGTATAATCACTGCCCATGACTACTATAACCCACAGGAGATAGTGAACGCATCATTTCAGCTTGATCCTTGCCAGTTGTACTGGGAACAGCCGCTTGTAGGAGTTGCTACAAGCAACCCTACATCTTTTGTCACTAAAAACGAAGTCACCATCCCTACCACTACTACCATTGAGACTGTCACGGATTTGAAGTCATTGTGCCCAAAGTGTGAGATTATAGAACATTTAGACCTACTCGCGCGTCTCAATAGATCGTTATGTCTTCATAATCTCTCACTATACGTATTTAAAACCTACAATGCGATCAATCGCACTTCAATTTTTGGACTGTTGCACTCTTTTGATTATGGTAATCGTCTAGCTTCGTGGAATACTACACTGATGATGTTAGAAGATTGTAAGTGCCAGATAGTATTCGAGGAAGTTTTTGGCCTCTTTGGCCCACACATTCATCCAGGAAGCACAAATGTCGTTCTTGCAGGACGTGATGTGGTGAGCTTAGAGGACTTGGTCAAGTCAACCTCGAAGTTCAAGGAAATGTTGGAGATCAAGATTAAAGAAGTGAACAATGATGAGCAAACTAAATGGTGTGCCAAGAGAATATCCTTTTTTGTCCTTCTTAAAAAGCTTGTGACTCGCTAAAAAGGAATTTGTACGCCAAACCGACCTACATTATACGTCAATTGTGATTAAATGAATATACTATGACTCTAAGTACCAGCCTTCAATTTTAAATGCAGATTATTTTTGCACGAAAAACTACAATTTTGTGATGAGCTATGACGATAGCTGAAGACCAAATACAATTGGGCTGCAAAGAGGAGTCGGTGTTGAACTAAGGTCCGGTAATGATAAATATGTATCTTAGCCCGAGACAAAACTATGTTTATGAGATCATTGGTTAATTAAGCTGTTTGTTGATCACCATTAATGAGTGAATAAAATCACATGCCTAAGAAGGATTAAACATTTTACTACATTACCTTAATTTTAATCACTTCTCCTGACTCGACTTTACCCTGTATGCACAAAGACAACAATCATGATCACAATCCCCTCTGTTGCCTTTTCAGTATTGCTATTACAAAATACATCACAATGGTTTAAGGCGGTTCCCCTTCTCTCTGGACTTAGACTATAAGCTGATGTCTTCCCATGAGTCTCTCTCATGGTGGGAGATCCTGTGTTCGTGAATGCACTGCTCTTGAAAAGGGATTTTAACTAAAATATCTTTATGGTTTATTGAAGGAGTTGTCAACAAATATTAGCCTGACCTTTAAGAAATGAGCAATTACATCGGCGGCACATTTTAAAGTAAGAATTCTTAAGTCGAGTGAGTTTTAATGAGTTAGTTGTTGGTACTGGTAAACGGTCTATTCATCCCCAAGAAACAAATCGAAAAGGCCATATTCTACTTAACGAGGCCGGAGTAATCAGCTGATCGGAGGTCAGTGGCCACTCGGTGTGCATCAATGTAAACATTGTTTAAGAAAGATAAATTAATGGTATCTGTATGTAATATAGTTTCCAGGATCTGTTCGTCCTGATTTATAAATGCATTTACTTGTTATACTAAAATTACGTGGTTTTATTGGAAATGGATGCTTACCTCCATTGCCCAAGTTGGGAATTTTCTTGCGGTGGTGGACCGTTCATTCTATTCATTAATTTTGATTTTGTAGATGCAGCCATAATTACGCTCTTAAACCTCCTTATGAGTCAGAACCACAATTAACTTATGAACATCGAGGTGGAAATAGAACGCGAGCGCTCTGATTATTCTCAAAAAGTGACTGAAATAATCCTCTAAAGAGCACTCACTGTCAAGCAGCGGGTCGTAGCCTCTTTTCATCTTCGCCCTTTTATAGTTATTCAGCTTACGATGGCCTTTTAAAAGATACAATGCTATCTTGTGCAGGGATTCTTGCCCTACCATCCTACAATTCCAGATGATTTAGCTTTGTAAGTTTTCTTGTGATGAATACAACTTTTAAGGTTCAGAACATTCACATCAACGTTTAGGTGGGTAAGCATTTGTTCGAAACAAGACTTACAACTCTCTTTTGTACGATTGGGTGGAGAAAGTAATCTTTGCTAAGAGTCATGCGAAGCTTATGTGATACATTGAGTTTGATCGCGCTTTTTCTATCAAACCAAGTTATTCTTTTAGTTGCAAGCCTCCGACGTTACCTCAAAATCTAATGGGTGTCTCCTCTTTATTGTCTTCCAATTAATGTAGCATGTTCACCTCTCATCATTGCAGCAGCAATGATGGTCGAAGACAAACGCTAGTTCCATTCTCAACCTTAAAATAATGCTCCAAATCGAAAAATTGCAACATTTATGGTCTCTCACAAGATGCGAAATCGTCCCTTTTTGTATCTACCTATCAACTCACCGATGGAATGCAAATTTAAGTTTACTTTATTCATTGTAACGGTGAAGACACTAACGTCACCACCTTGTGATACACATTGGATTTAGTTTAGTTAGAGTAAATATGAACAGAGCATAATGTATATATTATGGCTACAGTGCAACTGTATCTGGTAAATTAAGAGGCACATTTAT